CCGAGGAATGGAGAAGAGTAGCTGTCAGCATTAGCCCATTACGTGTGCATGCTCGCCGAAATGGGAGTACTCATTCTTCTTTGAAGAAATTCCAAACTTTCTCGAACACCTCCCAACTCTGTCCTCCGCTTCTCGAGCGCATGTTCTCTCATTTTCTGTGTGAGTACGTCTCTCTTCCGGCCCCTTTCACGCTATCTCCAAAGAAAGTTGGCCAAAGCCGTAGCGTCCCGCAACCAGAGTTCTCCCTCGCCTCTCTTCCATCTCTCCCTCTTCGTCCGAGGCTTCTCCATGTGCAGGATATTCTTGTTCCTATAAAGAGCTTACTGCTGCTGCTACGCACCGAGTCTCATCATGGATTAAGATCTTCGAATGTCATTCGCATTCGAGATATACGAGGCAAGTACCTACTCGTACTCGGTACAATGTCTTAGCCGTGTCCCCTATTACGACGGAGATTCTGGAAATACTTACGCCCGGGGGCTGCGATTAAAAGATCAACGAAATTGCCGTAGAGAGAAATTTCGAGAGAAGAATCCCTCCCCATTCTCCACTCTATACTCACCGCTCTCTACTCTCTACTCACCTACTCACCACTCTTCTACTACCTACTCTCCCACTCTTCACTCTCTACTCTGCATTCTCTACTCTTTAGTCTTCACTCTCCACCCTCTACTCACCTACTCACCACTCTCCTACTCCCTACTCTTCCACTCTTCAGTCTTCTACTCTGCATTCTCTACTCTTTAGTCTTCATTCTCCGCCCTCTACTCACCTACTCACCACTCTCATACTCCCTACTCTCCCACTCTTCAGTCTTCTACTCTGCATTCTCTACTCTTTAGTCTTCATTCTCCGCCCTCTACTCACCTACTCACCACTCTCCTACTCCCTACTCTCCCACTCTTTAGTCTTCTACTCTGCATTCTCTACTCTTTAGTCTTCATTCTCCGCCCTCTACTCACCTACTCACCACTCTCATACTCCCTACTCTCCCACTCTTCAGTCTTCTACTCTGCATTCTCTACTCTTTAGTCTTCACTCTCCGCCCTCTACTCACCTACTCACCACTCTCCTACTCCCTACTCTCCCACTCTTCAGTCTTCTACTCTGCATTCTCTACTCTTTAGTCTTCACTCTCCACCCTCTACTCACCTACTCACCACTCTCCTACTCCCTACTCTCCCACTCTTCAGTCTTCTACTCTGCATTCTCTACTCTTTAGCCTTCACTCTCCGCCCTCTACTCACCACTCTCCTACTCCCTACTCTTCCACTCTTCAGTCTTCTACTCTTTATAGTCTCCACTCTCCACTCACTATTCTCTACTCCCTCACTCTTCACTCTCCACTCACTATTCTCTATTCCTTCTCTCTCTCTCTCTCTCTCTCTGTCCACTCTCCACCCTCTACTCTTCACTCTCTTCTCCAGTCCTCTGCCTCTCTCGCTCGCTCTCTACTCTCAACACCCCATACCGCTCGTATCTCTCTCTCTCTCTATCGCTCACTCACTCTCTACTCTCCTCTTCTTTCTTTCTCGCCCTCTTTCTCTCTGTTCCCCTTTCACCGAAGCGAACTCTTTATAGTCTCCACTCTCCACTCACTATTCTCTACTCCCTCACTCTTCACTCTCCACTCACTATTCTCTATTCCTTCTCTCTCTCTCTCTCTCTCTCTGTCCACTCTCCACCCTCTACTCTTCACTCTCTTCTCCAGTCCTCTGCCTCTCTCGCTCGCTCTCTACTCTCAACACCCCATACCGCTCGTATCTCTCTCTCTCTACTCTCCTCTTCTTTCTTTCTCGCCCTCTTTCTCTCTGTTCCCCTTTCACCGAAGCGATAACAATAAGCGCTGAGGGGCGAAATTGAAAATCGATTCCCAAATAAATAAAGACATATTAAACATCCGGATATTATGGACGCGCGTCGACGCGAACTCATTTGTTACGCTCAAATAGATTACCGAAATGCGGGACCGCAGCGGCGTCAGTGTATCGACATTTTCTCGCGTTATTTGTCAACGCGGTGTGTATTCATTATACACATCGATGCGCTCGTTTGTGCTACGATTTTCTCATCGATACACACAGCATAGCCGGCCCGTTCTCGTTCTTACACGATTTCCGGCTCTCTCTTGCACCATCGTAGGAAACATTTTCCCCCAAAAGGATCGAAAGGATCGAAACGAAAAATTCATTCGTTTGTTCCCTTCTTTTATCGCAATTCGTAGGAAACTTCGAGCCGAACAAAAATGGTCTTTTGTAAGGTAAGCGAGGACGCTGCATCGCTTTATTGCACTAGTGTTTCAATTTAGCACCCGTTAAAAGAGTTTCGGTGCTTTAATCGCAAAAGTTCTGCGCGGTCAGGTAGAAAATAAGACAAGAAAGCACGGGTCGTGCAGAATGAGGTTAGAGGACACGGGGAGCGGAAGGGGTGAAGTCGAAAAAGGGAAGGAAGAAGGAGATATGTATGCGGTACCGTGCCGTGGCAAGGCACCAAAGACGAACGTAGATTAGCACCTGCCTACTAAATTAACACTTTATCCCTGGGTCATATAGTATTTCTAGATAATTCACGAATAAAATCCTACATCGTTCGAAATCTCTCATCTTTACGTTCGCAAATCATTTAACAAGAACGAAACGAAATATGATATACAGGTTGTTCCCGAGCTACTGGTACAACCTGAAGAGGGGTGAAAAAATAATTAGAAAATTTAGCGTAACATTTTTTCATGCGAAACTTCATTTCTGAATAAATCAACGTTGAAGATTCGCCGAGTATACTTACACTTTCATCTAACAGATATCATTGCAAAAACTACCTGCATTGCTATTTGAGTGTATCGCGTTAGACAGTGAAGGATAAAAAATGAAATAAGAGTAAGACTGTGATGGTAAAACAGCTTGGCCATCGCGATTCCTGGACTTGACATCGATGGGTTTTTGCTTGTGCGGCCACGTCAAATCTCTCGCGTACCACGACAGGAATGTAAATAGGGAACAGTTTAGAGAGAAAATTATCTTTGTATTCGAACATTGGAAAACAGAGAATACTAAAGAAAACGTTCAACGTAGATTTATTCGAAAACAAAGCTCCCTACAAAAAAAAGGAATTTTTCCTCTTTCCGGTCGTAGCACCGATTCGGAAACACCCTGTATTCGTTGGTAAATCAAGAAATCTCGTCGTGATCGAAAACGGAGAAATCAGCGTCCTCGTACGAGCAAGCACGATATTCAACGGTCTTATCGATTAATCGAGGTCCCGAGTCGTCCTTACAAGCTCGTTCCGTGGCTACAATAACGTTAGGTGCCGTCGTTATTCCGCCCCTGGCGGATTTCGATATTTCTCCGGCCGAATTTGCGGTTGAATTAATCCGTTTTAACAGAATTCCAAGGCAAGATAACGATGCCTCTCTCGTAATAACGTTTGCCACTGGCGTGTTAAAGCTCGCCTAAAGTTCGAAGACTTCGAGAGATAGATAACGTTGCGTCGCGACGTTGTAGGTGGAGGTGCGGCGGTGGGCGAATGTGGCGAACGTGCACGTTTATCGGCCTCGGAACCTACCCTCTCACCTATCGCGCAACTTTTCTTTCAGAGTTTCGTGAAATAACTTTTCTCTCGCGTCGTTTGTTTCACGGTGATCGTGCTACTTTACGTTCAATTTCCTGCCTCATCGTTTACCCACCGAACATCGAGAACGAACGAACGAACGAACAAACGACAAACTTGTCCCGGCGAAATATGAAACGTCGTTACGGTACATGCACGTGGGAATTTTTCGAAGTAAATCATCGTCTCGCTGATTTTTCTTTACGATTAATGGTTTTATTGAATCGTATAATTAATACGAGAATGTAATATTTACATCGATTCCATTTCTTAACCCCTCGGTTTACTTTTACGTGGATATCCGTCATGAACCTCCGACACATACGGACTGGTGTTCGCGGATCGATTCTCTTCGCGATAGACACGAATGAAAAAGCTCTGGTTGCATCCGGGGAAAAAAGATACCGGCGAACGCACGATATCGGAGATTCGTTGGGGAGAGTGTGTGGGAATGAGGGAAAACCCGTTTCCACGTCACAAAATGTAACGGTGCTCGTTCATCTCGAGAGTCCACGCTTATATACAGGTGTATGTATACATTCATATATGTATAATGCACGTACGAAGAAAATAGTTCGCCCATCGCGCACAACGGAAAAGGAGGATCCTAACGAGTAAGAAGGCCGACACTTGAACTAGGGAGTTTCTGTCCCCTTCGCGAATAAAACGGGGGGGAGGGGTCAAAAAGGAGGCAGAAAGGGGGTAGAAAGCTCCCTTCGGAACTCCGCGACGCGTTAGATTCCCTTCCTCGAAGAGAAGTTAAGAGTAGAGGAAGGTATCTTACCGCCAACTCTTAGATCAATTCCAGAACGGGGGATAATCGTTATTCCGACCGCGCCCACGTTTCCTCGAAACAAAGAAATTGCGAGATTAAAGAGGGACGTGGAAGGGACAGGGGACAGAGAGGGGAATGAAACAAAAGGATCTCTCGGTAGCTGGAGTAGAGTCCTCTGGCCTTGCGACGATCGAACACGGTCCCTCACTCGAGGAGGGTGCACGAGCACCAAGTTGTTCCTCGGTTTCTCTTCTCCTCGTGACAGACACACTCAGTGAAACGAAACAACGTAGCACACGCAAAGGGATCCTCTCTTTCTCTCTCTCTCTCTCTCGTTCTCGTTCTCTCTCTTTCTTTCTCGTTCGGACGGTGATTCGCAATTTTCCACGGTGTTCACACGCGAACGAGGTATACTCGCGACGATAAAATCGGGGTCTCTCTCGGCACCAAGTTCAAGGTGATGGCGTATCGTGGAGCTACGGCTGAAAAGACGAATCCTATGGTGTGATCCAATTGATCGCGCGATTTACGGACTCGTCCCTGCGGAAGAAGATGGACCGGGTTGCGGTGACACGGGGCACGGCTCACACTGGCCGTTCCCACAATTTTCGACGGTGATTCACGTCGGATAGAGGCCGGTGAGGCTCGGTATCCTCCAGCTGACGACCGCCAATAAGGACACGAGGAAGTTGCTCGGGGAAATTCTCGGGCCGCGGTTCCTTCTGTCCCCGCCGTGCATCGCTGCCGGCTTCTCCTCCTCTGAAACAAGATTAGAAGACTCTGACTTGATACTCTGTGAAAAGAACAAGCCTTTACTATCGCCTTTACTGCAGGGACTAAGTGAAGGCGCAGGTCTGTGTCTCGAGACACAGGGGGAGAGAGAAAGAAAGATTTCGTTCGGAGATGGGGTAAAATACCCCTGAGGGCGACTGCGACGCTTTTAAATGAGCTCGACCGGTCAGACACCGAGAGGTAAGGTATCAGACGAGACGAGAGACCACTTTTTCTATTCTTTCCTTGTCCCTCTGTAGGAAAGTTCAGCTTCGTAGTCGGATCACGCGCGCATCGACGAGTTGCAAATCTCGCTCTCGCCAGGATTTCTATTGAACTCGTGAAATATCGACGCCCGCGAGACAAGATGGAACGTTTTCGTTCTGTTTCACTCGTCAACCGAGCGAGCACCTCCTCTACATTAAGAATTGAACGTTCGCCGATTAAAGTATCGAGCTTTTGTTTCTTCCGGTTCTTGATGCATTCACGGCATCTGGATAGGAGCAGAAATTCCGATCGTGTGAGTCGAAGGAAGAAATGTTTCTAAGGTTCGAAAATATAGAAAGATTAAGTTCGAAATTTCCCGAAGTTTGTTCTTTCGTGTCTCGTACAGCAGTGATCGCCAATTTTGGTAGTGATGGAGAAATATCAACGGCCTGTCGATTATTATCGATTAGTATCAATTTCCGCTGACGAAAATAATCCATGTTTTTCTTGTTTCGTGATTCGAAGTTTATCCCGTTATATTGGACCCTTGTAGGACTGTGTTGTACTATAGGTTAGCAATTACAATTTCCGGTTGCAGGTTCAATTCCAATCAATCTCCTAACAGCAAGGGAACCTCAACTCCTTACGGGAATCTCGTAACACGTGGAAATTTGTATTTTTAATAGTAAGAATTACAAAGTATCGCACAATATTGAATAGAAGATTAAGAATTAAAGCAAAACATGTTAACATACTAATTTTTTTCATGAAAATCAGTGACTCTTTCTTAAATTATATATTTGGTATACTGTAGGGGAGAGTCGTGCAGTACCGGCCACTCTAAGTTTTTGTACTATAACTTGGGCTAATGTCGGTAAAAATGAAATTTCGAAAAAGCAATTTGTAGTACAAAGGGTGCTTGATAAAAGGGGACAAATTTGTTTTTCTTAAATTTTCTCATAAAGATAAATAATTCGTAGAAATAAAAAAGTTGTAATTTGCATCGAACGAAAAATTGTCGTACAGTACCGGCCAGCTACTTAGTAGATTTGAAGGTCTAAGTAATAACTAACGTTAGTAAAAATCATTTAAAAATAGAATAGGACTTTTATTTAGGCACGTCTACAAATGTCACAGGTAAAATGATCGATATTTTCTTGATCCGTACACTCCACGTGAGTCCAACCACTGCAGCTATGAAAAATAACTTTTGTCGTACGGAACACCAGCGTAGTAAACGTTAAACGTCTTAGAACTCTGGTAATACTGAAGAAAACAGAACATCGCCGGAACATGTTGCTCAGGGCTATAGTATTCATTTGCTTTTCCATCAGTAGTGCAGTCAACTAACAGTATAAGCGAAATCTAGCTTTGGCCGGTACTGCACGACTCTCCCCTAAATCTCTTACAAACATGCGAGCTAAATTTCAAAAAATTATGATTTCTCATCTTTCCTTAAAATGTCTTTAGAAATGCACAAAATCCGAAGCAAATTTTAGTATTTAACTACAAAGATCCCTTTGAATAAAGAAATGTTTCCAGAATTTAATCTATCGGAAATAATCGATAAGTATCGATAGTTAGAATTTCACTAGGAAAATTACAGAAACCGTTTACATTTCTCTCCTACCACTTATGCTTATTATAAATTTTATATAAATATATCGTTCACATTATCGTTCATTTAGGTATAAGTTAATAGCGTATAATATGTTGTTTTTATATAAAATAAGCTGCTTTTTAAAGAAAAGATGCGGTTTCATTCCCGCGTCAATTTGGCGCGTGTCCGTAGAGATAGGTACATAAGAAATGTCCGTAAACCTAGTGTTAAACTATCTTTGATAGGACTGTTTTCCTATACAACGTAGATACAGCTTTACAATCGCAAGTTTTCTCTGTAACAGAAGTAATTTCTCTCACCTTCGAGCACGTGTACCATCACGTATGCGGGCCTGGCGTTGCTCGGCGCGCACGTATAATTCCCTTCGTGCGTCGGCTTCGTTTTGTTCACCATTAAAATCGAGCCGCTCTTGGTCAGCTCGACTTTCACGCCTGGCTCCTCGTCATAATTGATCATATGCCCCTGACGATACCAGAAAACGTAGAGGGGCGATTCCGCGGCTGCCAGGAGTTGACACTCGAGCCGCAGGCTCGAACCTTGCTTCACATGCAAATCAGGCGCGCCCGGTATGATCGAGTACGCTTCCGTGATCTTCAAGTGTACGAAGTTCCGTTGTACCGGGTGCGACGTTATCTGAAATTTCGATACGGGACTAGTTGCTTCGCGATCATCATCGTGTCTCGACTTACTACCTGGAAACGATCTTCGAAACGATCTTTGGTAATGGTACAACCGTAATCAAATGCAGGTGATTTACAAAGAGAACCCTCTCGTGAACTCTAAATGCCAAAGGATCGACCTGTGCTTCGCTCTCGCAACAATTTGTGGGTTACATTTAAGGGGGTGCACCACCCTGAGGTGTTTAAATATAGGTAAAATTTGGGAATTTTTTTCGTAGCTAACTACTGAATGAAAAATTTCAATTTTTCTCAGAGGATGTAAGTGTAGCTTTCAGCTTTTTTCTCGAATTTTTAGAAAGCAAAATTGTTACAAAATGGAGTAATGCAAAATAATAATTTGAAATAAAAAATTCTTTTTGATTTGTAAATATATTACCTACGATGTAGCTTCGATTTTTTCGATATCTCAGTTATTTATTTTTTTTTAGGAACGTTTAAAGTTGCTTTTCTTTTTTAAACTGCCTCTCAAAGTACCAATTTTCGAAATATCTAAGCCGTCCAATCAATCCTTGCCAACGATGGCGACTAGCAATCGATGTTCTATCAGAACTTGCTTCCCAATAACTCCTCCATTTTGTAACAATTTTACTATTTAAAAATTCGAGAATGAAGCTGAAAGTCACGCTTACACCCTCTGAAAAAAATTGAAACTTTTCATTTACTAATTACCTGTGAAAAAAAATTCCCAAACTTTACCTATTTTTAAATGCCTCAAGGTGGCTTAGCCCCTTAACAAGGTAAATCGATGCGCTGAACTTTCTTTACACTTTATGTACACGACGTGCAAGCGTAGGTGTAATGTAATTAGAAGCACCGCGGTATTACGCGTGTTTCACCGGCGAAAAAAATTTCGTTCCTTCTGCTATCTCCTTTTATGCTGCACGCGGCAAGAAATGTAACATAAAAGTCGCTGTAATATGCCGTCGTAAATTTCAAATACGGCCGCGGCTTTTTACGGCGAAATAAATGATATGCATGTCGCAATGTCGCAACAGTGTGAAGGGATATCGCGTTGAAGAAATGCGTCCTTTATTACGCGTAGATACGCCGGTGAGTATACCTGGCACTCGTATATACCCGCGTCCTGAAGTGTAACCGCTCGTATCTGAAGCGACCAATCAGTACTCGAATGCATCACGACAAATCGATTGTCGATCGAATGGGTAGTGGTGCCGACGGTTAATAACCGTCTGTCTCTGCGTTTCATCCATGTAATCTGAAACATCGCACAGAGCGAAAAAGAAAAAAAGAACCAAAGATGCGACGAAACTTAAGTATGCAAATTTATTCGTGCACAACCGTTATATTTGAATGTAATTCATAGGCGACTGACCCACACTCTGTTCGTTAAATAAAAGCCGGCAACGGGGAAATATTTCATATTTATTTGTTACATCGCGGCCGTTCGAACAGTTGTTTCGTTCTCGTAAGAAAAGTTCGAAATAATTCGGGGCGGTGAAAACGAGTTGGCGACGGTGCAGCAGGCGTTAAAAGCAATTACGCCATCTACGGTAACAATGTATAGGAAACAGCGCGTATCATATCAGGCAATGATAGAGGGAGAGTAAGCCACGCTTGCATCCAATATCAATTACGAACGCCATTAGTGTACCCTAATTTCAGGATAATTTTCATTCCTGACCGTACTGGCCGCGAAACTTTACTCAATTTATCTAACAGCCGTCCCGTCCCCACGGCACCTATATTCTACCTGTAACGAAAAATTTCCTCTCCCCTTCTTTCTTTCTTTTTTAACAGAATTTGCCAAATTAACAAAAATAGCCCTCTGTAGCAGTTTAACATGGTTAGGGGTAGCTAAATGAGACTACAATTTCTAGCATCGATATACATACGTATTACGTACATCACCGGTCGTAAATTTAATTAGGCAATGCAAAAGGGCGACGTACATATGTAATTCAATTCGTTTCGTTCAAGTAGATGAAATTCCAATTCCATTCGTCAAATTCAAAGTTTCATACGGAATTACACAGAGTGAAGTTTATTATTCTCGCCTAATTAATTTTTTGTTTTTTGCCATAGTTCTAGCTTTACTGCATTTCGACGGATGCGACTAAACTTTCGAGCGATAGCGTAATAGTAATTGTTTTTCTAACGTTCTATTTCTAACAGGGGTAATTTATAATTCAATAATGCCAGTTCTACTATAAATGATCGAATGAATTTCGTTTGAAATTGCATTCCAATGCTGCACTTCACTTGACGTGAATAATTACCTGTGATTATTTAGCAATAATAACAGTAATAATAATAATAGTAAGAAGATAGTCCGTATGAGTTTAGACAGGCACTTTTCTGGATTTCGCTTGAATAGAAAATAAATTTTTTATTTTTCGGTAACGAAACATTAAACAGCGGTCAACTTCTCACACAAGCGAATGCAATTCTTTTTTCCTCGCGCTTGACTCCTATTTCAAGAGGGCACGTTTGTTTTAGACTGGCCGATTGTTGGCTCCCACAATGTTCATGAAGCCTGATTATATAGCAAATAACTCTTTATTTGCAACGCAGTTTGTTATGTAACAGTAATGCAATGTAACTGAGTTCTTAAATGTTGAATGTGTGCGAGTCCAATGTCCCGAGGTTCAAAATTCGTGTAATCGTTCGTACCAGAGTTCAGAATTCTCTGTTTCACTAATGTGTTTCTTACAACAATGTCCTTTTTGTCTATCACCCCAGTCCCTTTATACGGTTTTTGTCCGTCCATTTGGGTCCCTCGACGGGAGTGAGATTTGGGTGGGGGGCCAAAACTCCCAATCGAGTTAGGGCCTTGGTCGACGCCCGACGCCAACCGCTCACCCTTAGGGAAAGGGGTGTTCTGGGTGAGGTACGCGTCACCTGAGCTTCTGGGGAAAACCCAGGGTAAGGGTACCGCTCGCTCGCTCGCATGTGCCTCAGCTCGCGTGGGTTCATGATACGTCAATTGCTATTGAGATGCACGAAGAAACTCCAAATTCTCCGCTTTTATGAGAGGTTTCGAGCCCTCCTGACAATAAGGAATAACTAACGAACGAAACATTAAGCGTATTCAAACCTTAATCTGAAAAATAGCAGAGTCGCGTCCGTATCGTAAACCTGGTCTAAACTTAAGTATCCTTAACACCGATCGTAGTCGTTCTTGTTAGCAACGAAAGGGTTAAGATAATCTCGCGCCGCAGCGGTCGATTAATCCGCCACGTATTTCCTCGTTAACGAACACCTCGCGCCGCTAAATAAGAACACGAAAATTGCTCCGCGAAAACAAGCTACCGGCTCTCAAATTGCTCGTTACGCGGGCACAAGGTGGGTGGAAAAATGAGTAGCGGGAAATTGACTTTCAAACAGATTGGACAAACCTTGCGAGTTGAACGCTGGCTTGTACTAAACTCGCGAAAGCTGTGCATGCACGAACATGCACACGGTTCTCGTCGGTAATGCGGAAGCAAGTAACGAGTTTCCTGTTAAGCAGATGCAGGCTCAACTGTAAATACCAGAAAATATCTGCGCATGTTTGTGAACTCGTGATGCATTTACGCGAGGGCTACGAATCGCTCGCTTTCGAAAGCCTGCCCCGCCGCACGCACACGCGTCGGCTGTTTTCGTTCCCGTGTCGCGCGCGTTCATAGTTCGGATTTTTCTCGTCACTAGATTATCAACGTTAATTTCATTCGGTTCTTTATTCGTGCAATTTAAGCGTTGAGAAGCAGAGACGCGCGAGTTCGAATGCAAAAGTTCTCCCGTCGTATTTTTCTGGAGAATTTATTTATAGTTAGTCGTTATCGAAGTAAGAATAACGTAGTATCAGTGCTACAGCTGTATGACACAATATAGACGCACGTTTATTTGTAATTTATTTATAATTAGTGGTTAGCAAAAGAATAATATAACGACAATATCATATTCAGGATATTGAATTAAGTGTAGTATTGTCATAAATACCACCTGTGAATATTTAAATAAGAAAGAAAACGTATAAGGTAAATGTTCCCATTAGCGACCAATTGACTGTTTCAGTTCATTAAAAATGACAGATAAAGCGATACTATATTATTTTTATTTATGTATTTTTTTTTTTTTTTTTTTTGCTATTAGATTATTATTCCAGGGATTATTCCATCGTTAAAGTATTCACCAGCAAGTATAATTAATATACAGTGGGTGATCATATTATTAGAGCCACCTGTGAGAAATTGACGGTTTTACATTATAACCAGTGCCGGATTTACGTATAAGCTGAAAAAGCTACAGCTTAGGGCCTCAAATAAAAAAACAAAAAAATATAAAAATTGATAAAAAACATCTCGTAGAAAAATCACTCAAATGAAGTCAGACAAAATATAGCATTAAAATAATTTTGGCGCATTGTGAATGTGATTGAGATATTTTGTCTTCTCTTTTTTCAAAAGCATTTATTTGAGAGTTTTCACAATGTCGGCTAACTTCAAAGGGTATCTATCCAATAAGATTAATTTTTTATATACTACCAATTATGTTGTTATATGAATTTAATTTTTAACTTTTATTTTCCTATTTTAATTTAAAACTTTCTGTTCTATGAGCCTTATTTGTCGTTTTTAAAACCCTTTAATTATATAATTATTTCTGTGATTTTGTAAACACATCCTTTATTATTTTTTTAATAAAAATTAAAAGACAACATATTTTCATACATTAAAAAGGCGTATTATATTTTAAATTTTTCTGAGACCAGCTGATGTAATTTAAAACAGTAGGGGGCCTCTCGGTTTTGTATAGCTTAGGGCCTCAGCAAGTCTAAATTCAGCCCTGTTTATAACGATTAATATTCAGATGAAAACCTAGTTATACTGAATTCTTATTAGTTTTTTGTAGGATCAGTTATCACAGTATCTCGTGTAAATATTTTTATACGTTAGCGTTATATTTATATACGTACAGTACACGACATGAGACTTTAGACTAACTCATCTAGGCGAGGCCTTAAACAAAAGACCGCGACTATTTTGCCGCTGCCTGCCCTCAGATGTCATTGCTTGCTCGACTCTCTGTTATATTTATATACGTACAGTACACGACATGAGACTTTAGACTAACTCGTCTAGGCGAGGCCCTAAACAAAAGACCGCGACTATTTTGCCGCTGCCTGCCCTCAGATGTCATTAGGTGCTCGACTCTCAACAGTTGGTAAAAAGAAACTATTTTTCAACGATCACGTTCTTTTACCTATCTCCTGTGATTTACCTTAGTGTCTTTCAGCAGCATCGATTCATAAGCGACGGAACTTTCGCATAGACCTAATATACATTCATAAATCGGTTTATCATTCTTGGAACGTGTTTGCGTATTAACCAGCTGACTCCTCCGTCTTGCGGAAACTCGAAGGAACTCCGGATAATTGGCGTCTCGAGCAGAGAGTTTCACGATCGCTATCGATCAATCCAGCCTCGATTTCAAGAGCGTCTTCAATGGCCCGTTTTAATGCATAGCCGGCGTGTAATTACTGCGATTCCATCTAATACGCTCGTAGGAAACGAATTCTCAGGAATATGACATTGCGGGAACCAACCGACCGTCGTAATCCCGGATGTTTCCCCATAATCCTGGATATTCCATGTTGAAAAGGGCCAATTTTCTCCCAACTGTATGCGTACAAGATGAATCCAATATTTTTCACTATACCGTACCACGCTTATCTCGGCAAACATCGGGATCGATTAAACGGCGGCTCTTGGTAAAATGCAAATCGCATTCCACCGTTAAAACCCTCGTCTTCGTTACGCGACCCCTAATTTCCTTTGATATTGTCCCAGCCATCGGTCTTCTTAGACGTGAATTGGCTAACCGATGTTCCAAGAATTCCCCAGGGAAGCTATTAAAGCGAGCGTAGGCAAGGAAGTCTTTATATAACTCGAACCCACCGTGTACACGTGAAACGAACCTGGCATGGCGGCAACGTAGAAATCCATGGAGCATTTTCAAGCTGAGTCTCACCAGTATCGGTAAGAGCTTAATTGGAAACGAGTATCCACGGTAGCCTCATCCCCCATTCTTAATCTCCCGGATGGGAATTGCCATGAACCGCTGAGGAGAATGTCCTTTCTCTGATCGCTAGATAACGTTGCGGTTCGTATCTCGGCGAAATCTTAACAAACTGACTCAAAGATAGAGAGAGAGAGAGAGAGAGAGACAAAAGCACGTTCAAGGAAGCCATTATCCATAGAGGATAAAACGTTCAGG